AATGGTTTTAAGCTCAAAATGATGCATGAGACTTATACCAAATAATTCAAATGTTAATTGTGTTATGCAGTTATTTTTATTGTGATTCAGCTCAGTAAGGACTATCTTGGCACCAGTTATGTGAATCATGCTGCATGTCGATAACACAAGCTGGGGACTGTGGTTTGTATAGCCTGTCTGTGACCGCACAGCTGTGTAGCAAAAGTTCAGTGCACAACTTGAGGAAATTCACTCAAACTGTATGTGAATGTAGATGCAAGACATAGGTTTTGTGACTAATCATGTGATTTTTTATTTTTAACAGACGTTTTTCTTAATGAATTGATGAAAAACTACAGAAACATTACATCAAACAGCTGTTATCCTGTTTGTAAATGTAGGGTTTCTGTTGCTGCGACCTTCCAACAGACAAGGAGGTTTTCTGTTTCCATCTAAAGCTTTGGGTTTACAAGTGAAGTTGACAAGGTTGCCATGAGCCTCTTAAACTGTGAACAGGAAGGGCAAGTGCTAAAGTGCTTGAGGGCAGATTTCTATGGTCGAGTGTCTTGACAGATGAAAATGGAATAATTGCACAGGACTCAGCCCAGGCAGTGGGAGTTCTAAGCTACAAACCAAAGAATTAAAAAGCTCTTATTACCATCATGTTACATTGTTTTTTAAGCGCTAACACTTGGGTCATTTCAAACCAGGCCTGCCATTTTTGGAATCAGAATCAAATATTTAGAGCCATTGTATGATTACAAGAAAGTTTTCTGGCACCACTTCTCCTCGCTCTTTTACTGAAATGGCCTCAATAAAGTTATTCACCGTTAATTTTTGTTGGAATGGGTCCATGGAAAATGAGGAACTTTGAAAGTCTGAGGTGTATAGGGTAAACATACATTAAAAACATGTTTTTCTTCCGCTGCCTGCATGGTTTGTAGCTAAATCCAACAGTATTCAAAGAGTTGAAACCAGGAAGCTCTGTAGCTCACATGTAAAAGGGTGACCCCACAGATCCAGTAAGCCCTCACAGACACTAAACAGTACAGAAATAATCTGCAATGAGAAATGCATCAGCTCAAAACCATATGCATAAAACAGCAAATGTTCACTGACATGTCATAGTTTCTAAGTGTCATAGTTTCTAAGTAATACCTGGATTATGGTCTGGATTCTCTGAAGCTCTTTTCCACAAAGTAGAGTGGCGGAGGGGTTATAAAGTGGAGAGGACCGCCTAATGAATTGAAATACAAAGGACATACAGCAGCCAAAAATCACTCTAAAAACAAAGACTGATTTTTTAAGTGTTTTTCACTCTGTTAACCTCTTATATATCTGCCCATTCTGCATGGTAAAATGTCCAAAGATCTATCGACCCAGGAACCCAAACATTCTGCTAACAAATGGCGTATTACTGATCTCTTACATATTAAATCATTAACCGTTTATAAGGGATGTCTTTATTAGAAAACTGCAACAAAATGTGACTGCAGGTCTGTGGAAAGGGATATTGGTGCATGCTAGAGTAGCTTACGTCACCAACTGCCCATGCTCCTTCCGTCTAATGTTTCATTGAGAGAATTTAACGGTTGGGATTTAAATAACCAAAAAAAACATACATGATAAATTCAACTCCAAATGCATGTCACTTACAGGAGCTAGCTAACTTAAGCCAGATTTTAAACTGCAGTGTGAAAAACATCATTAGATAGATGCAACTCTTTCAATAATGTATCCATTTGCACGTATAGCTTGCAGTGTAGTTGGAATAAAACAGAAGAATGATTAGAAGGGTTTGAATGGAGTTTGGCAAGAGTGAGAAATTTTAAGTGCTCACCCTCCACCTCTCATCATCCACCCCCACACGCTCCCTCGAATGTCTATACATACACACAAACACACAGATGTCAGAGAGGTCTGAGTGACTCTACCTCTGTCACTGGGTGCCTGCTGTGAAAACAGCACCCCCTCCCTCCCCTGGCTCCTCTCCTCACCCCCCCTCCCCTCTCTCCCTCTTCTCTGGACGCCAGCCTGACATACCAGACCTTGTTCGTTAGCACATATTTTTACCCACCGTTACTAAATTAGGAAGCCAGAGGGAGCAAATGGAGTGTGGCTGCCAAGGCAGAAGAAGAAGGGTCTGATCAGGCCTGGGTTTGCTGAGGGCCCATGCCAACCCTACCAGCTTCATTAAGAGCCACTTGGGTTTCAGAAATAGAAGCCCAACAGGGACCGGGGCCAAACAGAGCCCTGTACGGCCAGCCAAAAACTCACGGGACAAACAAACAAATAAACGGGTTGTCTCATGGCCTGCCAGAATCAACCGGCAGCAGCCATCCCAAGGAGCCATAAGAAGTTATCTTAGGCAGTCTTGCACACAAAATGTGCCCTGCCCCGAGTTTAAAAGTGGTGACAGTACACATACTGCCAGCCCGATACAGAATAAATTAACCTAGAAAGCTGTCTCCGGAGACCAATTTCTCAAAGCAGCCACAGAGACATTACTTCTTGTTTATTTGGCATGGATTCTGGGCACTGATGTAAGAAAGGATATTTTCACAAGGAAATGTACATTTCCTCTTCTCCCTATTGGTATATAGCATTAATGTCAAAGTACAGAAAGATGTGGAAGTAAGTATTCCTTATCTGTATTTTTAAACGCATGATTTTTTTTAATTCTGAAAAGCCTTACAGTTTTTAATCTCCATTTACACTTGCAATTCAGATCTACAAAAAAAATTGTATAAACAATGTTATAAAATGGATAAATATTATACAGCACTGAAATAAATCTGTAAACTCCTTGCTATATAATAAATAATTAAATAGAATGGAAAGCATGTTTCTCTCTAGAAGATTTAATCTGTTTTATTTGGACAGAAGACAGAGCCTGTGAGCAAATAGCATTTTTATATGTATGTATTTATAGCAGTTTCAGAGAACCACAAACAATTAGAAAACACTGTAGGAAAAACTGCTCTTTTACAAAAGGTTTCAGGATCATTGTTTACCATTTCATCTGAGTGGCACTACTCAACCTGTCCACTACTGTGACTTCAGTCCATTTAGCGCCCACCCATTAAAACTAATGAGCTATTAGCATCTGACTTTAAACAACTTTAAGGTCAATCAATGTTGCCACTCCCAAACAGTATATTCACCAATAAGGATGCAGAGAATGTGTGGCCCTAATTTCCATAAATTATGGTTTTGATTGTCAGCGCTGTATATTTTTCTTCTATTCATGTGTATGCTTTTATTTATATGGCCCTTTCAGGTGACTGTCATCATAAAATACTTCATGTGTTGCGCATGTGTAGGTGACATAATTACGGTTAACTTAAAAATAAGTAACATCTTCAGAGATCTGAGAAAACATGAAATAAATGGTCTGATAAGTGCTGAGGACGCAGTTTGAATAATACTGAAAAAAGAGATGAGCCCTAGGGTTTACACATTGCCAGTTTAACACTTTGAAGTGTGCATGCCCTTAGGAGAGGGCAAAATCCCAGCCATCACTTCTTAAAAGAACACAACAATATTATAATTCTCCCTTGAGTACAAATGTAAAACCTACATCATAGCTGGGACCATTAGTCTTGTGTTACTATGCTGACACCTTGTGGAAATATCAGAATACTACAATTCATTCAGACTGAGTTGATTTCAAAGCTGTGCATTGAGACACAAGTAATTAAGGAAATAAAATGTATATTGTTTACAGCGTTTGCAAGTGAGAGAAGAACTTTAAGTCACCTCCAGCTAAGCTACCAGACACACATTTTCCACATTCATGCATTTTTATTGTAGTACAACACTTACTTCTAGTGATGATGATGATAATAATAATAATAATTTCTTACTTTCACAAGCTACTCATTGTAGTTTCATAGTAGTACAGAATCAAGTAACGATGTGTCAAATTTGAATTTCTCCTACGGGGGATCAATAAAGGTACATCTTATCTTATCTTAACTTGTGACCAACGTGGCCAGATCAACCTGCGGAGGGCCCCAGGGCAAAAATGAAATGATGGGCCCCTTTAAAAATGAAGGATTTGAAACCAGAATTTAACACACGGGACTTCTTCAAGAGGATTTGGTCCAGTGTGTAACATTTATGAGTATCTATTGGCAGAAATTAATATTAATATTAATTTTTAAAAAAGTAAATCGCTGTGATTTTATACCTTAGAATGAGATATTTTTATCTACACAGGGAGCAGGTCCTCTTCCACGCAGGCCGCAATGTTAAACCACCAGGTCTCTACAGTAGCCCAGAATGAGTAGCCCCAAACACTAGACTCACAGACCAGTCTCTAAATATTTAACTCAATAGAGACCGAGGACTGTCTTCTAGCTTTTGTTACTAAAACTGGGTGGAAACAGTTTCCATGATGGAGTTCAAAAAAGATCTATCTCAACTATACTGCCTGATGTCACTAAATCCTACACACTGGTCCTTTAATCAGACCCTAATCATGTAATTTATTGGGCTTTACTGCTGCATATTCCCAGACAAATTATCAATTAAAAGTCCTGCACACACTCACAGGTGCTTCCAATTACTCTGGTTAATTAGACTCGAACTTTGTCTGGTTTGGGAATAACCTCATATCGACAATCTCTATTTTTAAGTTGACTAGTAACACTACAACAGCGTAAGAAAAGAGAGAAAAAAGATAATAAAGTTAGTAGGAGATACTCTCAGACAAGCTGTACAAGCCCACACAGTCTTGAGAAAATGTCTTATATTGCCTGGAGAAAGATGAATTACCCTGTTACACTTTAAACACTAATATCCTAGCCTTTTGTTGAGTTACATCTCGGTTTTATTATTAAAATCACACAGTAAAATCAACAAGAGACGTCTACATTCGAGGTATTTAAGAACAGCGCGGTTCTTGAATGCACCCCACTTCCTTCCCACTATACGCCTGTGTGTGTTCAGGAAAGGACTGACCACAGTGATGGATACTCTAGTTCACCACAGCCTGTCACGTAAGGTAACTTAGTGTTTTCGGTTATTTAAAGCCATTGACAGTATAACGTGTTACATTAATTTTAAGCCCAGCCGTTAAAATCCCCCCATTGAACCAATGGAGTGGAAGAGCAGCCGTAGCACCGTAACCACGGAAACAAACAAAACGTAAAGAACACAAACGCGGATGACGCTGTTAACGTTAGCTAGCTGCATCCTTATAGTCTGTGTAAAACGGTTAAAAATAACCCCTTAACGTTACCTCTCACACTGACTGTTTATTAAAGAAATGGCTGATGATCACGCAATGACAAAAACACGACCAAATTCCCCCGAGTCTCCTGCTGAGTAAGTGATTTCCTCTTACTAACATTTAGTTTAACCCGTGGGTCAGCCAGGGTAACGTTAGGTGTTCATGGTCCTCACCGAACACAGGGAAAATGAGCATTAACCGTATTAACTCCCGTGTGTGTGTATCTTTATCTACAAAGTCTACTTTATAGGTTTGTAGGAGCCAACACGCATGACAGATTCTAAAAGTTTGCTAAAAGTGTTTTCCTCAAAGGTGTTTAAAAAAGTGTTTTGACATACCTTTTTTTGACAGCATGGGAAGCACCAACGGGGGCGTGAATGCATCTCCTCTCTGTGACTCAGATGTGTTGAGCCCCTCACAAACAGGATATGCAAAGAAGGAATTTATTATGATGCCACCTGAAGAAAAGCTCAAACACTTCGCCAGCCGAGCTCAGGCCCAGGAAGACAACCAGGAGGTTGGTACAGTAAGATAGGTATAGGCTGACAAATTCATACAATGCTCATTGTTAGTGTTCTGCAGCTGGTAGTGCTCAGAAGATGTGTGAACGCAGACTGTTTTCTACAGACTTTACTCTTGTTTACAGAGCTGATGCTTATTCATGAATCTGTACAAGCTGTATGCACGCCAGTAAGGCTGCAAGTCATTGTCACTGACTATGTTTACATGGTGGATAAGGAGGAGAAGGTGTTTACGTGCCACACTATCCTGTTGTTTTATCAGATTACGTACTTATATCCAAGGTAGAATACAAAACAAATTAGGGCCTTATCCAGATGTTTGAAGGGTACGATGTTTACATGAACAACATCATGTTTCTGGGTTACTGCAAAAATCAATCATAACCAGAATATATATATATAAATCATATAAAGGCATTCACTATTGGTTTTTAAATAATGGATTTTGTCTAAACAGTGTTTGAAAAGTAGTAAACATACATGTCGATCATAATTTCCATTTTTTTTTAAATATTTCTTCATTTAGCTTTTTTTGTCTGACCAGCCAGAAAAAAAACCCAGTTTACAATGATATTAAAAACATAAATAAAAGCAATACATCATCAAATCCAAGAAGTTGGAACCAGTGAATCTTTGCTTTTAATGCTTGAGAACTGACTTAAACAATTAGTTCATTATCAAATTTGTAGGCAATTCAGAAAAAGTGCTACTGACACTCATTCACTGTATCTGCTCAGTTTGATGCTTGCATCCAGGACCTTGTGCGCTGCGTGGCTCTGACGAGGCTGGTATATGGCGACGGACATCTGAAACTAGCCCAGGCCCATGTCAGACTGGCTACAGCATATTTCCAGTTCAAAGGTAATTTAAAAAATATAAGGTGAGCACATTGTAAATGTTAAGTGCAGATTATGAAATACATTTTCATAAAAATAAACACTTAAGACAGATTCACATTGTCATTGTCACCTATAATTAATACACCTACTATTTGCCTCTTTTTTTAACCATGACAGATGACTATTGCGGAAAATATAATATAAAAGGTTGTCAATGTTAAACATTTTTCGAACAGAATACTTCAGCTCAGTATGATACATCCATGTAGCTGTCCATGGTTTATAATGATTTATCTACTACATTAGTGATTTTCCATATTTTACTTTCCTCTAATAACTAATAACAGCTAATGAAAGTGTTGCTATAAGTGGGGATGGTGTTAAAATGATGTCTAGATTTAAAGTTACACAGTTTACACTCAATGGTGGCTCTTTGTTCCCCTTCAGGCTGGGGACTGCAGGCCCAGGAGCACTTGACCCTGGCCAGAGAGCTGCTGCCTTACTGCTCCTCCATCTCCTCCTGCAGGGAAGAAAAGCTGGAGGTTCTCACGTGTCTTCTGAGCGTACATCTCACACAGGGAGGTGCCTCGCTGCTTATGGCCAAATATCCTTGATCCTTGCCATGATATCTTTTACATTAACATATGGGATTGAACAGAAATATCAGCTCTAATAACACTCTGAATGAGTCCTTGACTCTTTTAAACTCTTGAAGATGCAGAAAACTTTTTTCTGGAGACAGAAAAAGTTCTTGAGGACCTTCATCAACGTGGTGGCATCAGCCAGCAAGAGAAGATGAAGACTGAGCTTGAAATCTCCACTGGTCTTTCCAGGTGCAGTAGTAAAAAAAAAAAAAAAACACTTTGTGTGATTTGTTGCGGGTGTTTTAGCAGCAGCACACAGCAGATATGTAGTAAAATTAGAAAAGAGGTAAATATACAGTACATTAGAGGCTTTAATGTAGCTTATAGCATGTAATAGCAGCTGCTGCTCTGTTTTTAGCGTTGCTGCCTGGTAATCAGGTGATTTGCTCTATTTATTTCCCCTGACCAATGTTCAAGCTGAGCCAGATAAGACAGGTCTTTTCAGAAGGGATTCAGCTTATAGACTGGATGATTTTTCACCAATTATAACTAAATATTTGTTTTTCTAAAACACTCACAATTTTAAATGCAGAAGTTTACAAGTTTACAAGTTTGTCCACAAGATGGCGATATATTCCTGCAAGTCTGTATAAAAACCAACCTTTGTTGTGTTTTTTGGAAAGCAGGGTTTGTTTTGCTGACTAAGTTATGCTGGTAAAAATTCCATTATTTTGTGGTTTCAACAACAACTCAACAAATCAGGATTTTCCCATACTGTTTTTTTTTTTTTTCAGGCAGTCAGTGTGGGTGTTTTGTAATGATGCTTACAGACCTGCTGGGTGGGGTTCCTGCATGTCCACTCATCCAGTCACTGCCCAAGCAGAGGAACAGATTGGAGAGAAGCATTTCTCCTCCTTTTTAAAAGCATTTCCCCCTTTTCTCCACTCGCTTTCTGCCTTTTTTTCTCTAGCTTTGACTGCCCCCTTAATTATTTAACCCCCTCACCTCATACCACGCTTAGAGTAGATATTGCTTTTACAGTCTGGATTATTCCTGATAGATTGTAAAGCCCGTTATTTCTCTGTTAAATGTCAACTGCTTTGTTTTCTTCACCCCAAGTACCATTTCCATATTATTGATTTGTGTCTACGAAATTACAATGTGCATTTGTAAACTGACAGTGGTATTGACAAAATAGGTCCCAAGGCTCAGAAAAAGATTAAAGACTTAGTGGATCATGTGGAGACACCAAGCACAGACATCAAGTGTATGAGAGACTGATAGTCTGGGAACTCTGTGGCAGCAACATAGAAAATAGCAGCCACTTGTCATAGCTTAGATCACTGTGGGTAAAATTAGAAGCACAACCAGGAAATGAAGTGTAGTCTTACCTGGATTGAGATCATCCCACTAATGTTAATTTTGTAATCCTTGAATGTGGAAGAACTGGCTGGTTTTGAATGTATGTATTTTGATTCAATGAATAGTTATTGCTCTCACTCAGCATGTTGGTATTATATACATGTGGGTATACTTTGCACATGAGTGCACGTATCGTCCATGCCAGTGGTTTTCAACCTTTATACCCCACCCCCCCATATTCAAAATAAACACTTTAATAATTAATATAACAATTTTAATTTAGTTTTCTTCACAGAAATTAGTTAAATGTTAAGATATAGGCATCTGTATTTAAAAAAAAAAAAAGTGTTTGTTCATCCCATAAAATCCAGAAGGCCTTGCGACCCCTGTAAGACTGGCAATCCCTAGTCGGTGTCTGGGGCCTAGGTTGGGAACCAGTGATTCATGCTATGAGCACAGTACATGCCTGTCTCTAGCAAAACATTTGTCAAACTCAGTGTTTGTGAAGCCTGTCAGAAGCTTAGAAGCTAAAAGTAAGATTTTAGTTTTTTAAAAGAACTGTTCCAGTCTTATAAATGAGTATGTAAGCAAAGACAGCAGTAGGGTAACAGTGATTCAACAGGGGAACCAATGTTACAGGTAAGCTTTAGAACTTAGATCGTAGACTTTGTATGTAGGACCTCACCTCAAGACCCCGTTGCTAGGTGAAGAGGAGCAATATTCCCTCAGAATTTACAGTAAACAAGCCTTATCAGCAGCTGAGGTGATCTACTCTCAAAGGAATTTGTAAATTATGCCATCTTGGTCTGTTTTAGAGAGTCAGAGTTTGTTGACATGATTTGTGTAATTGAAAAAATGTGCAGACTCTGGCTGGTGTGTAAGCTTTCTAAATCTCCTTTGTTGGGTGATGACTAAGAATTTGGCATGCTTCTAAAAGCTCTGTCAGTCAACGCTGTTGTGGTGGAGGGGAATGTTCCCACCAAAGCCTGGAACAATAACGTAAGCTCAGCTCTGCTATAGATCCCGGTCCAAACGTTATGCTCGGTTTTAGATTCACACTCAAGGTGTGCATTTACGATCAAGCAGATGGAATCTTTTATTCAAGGAAGCTTCATTGTGTGGTTTAGATTTTGTGTGTGTGTGTCATTGGCATGGCTGCTTGGATGACTTATGTTTTTCTCTAGTTGAATAATAAATTCGCAGAAATTCTTCCATATTTTCTCTCCACTCTTAACTAAATTATCATGTTATCACATTAATTGAAATGCACTCCTTGTTTACCAATTTTGTGCAAATAGTTTCATGGGTTTATCCTATTTCAGAAATCAGTGACCCTGTTCCCTCTAACCTCATTGTATATGTAGGCTATTGACTGCTTTCCTTCCAGATAGTTGGCTCTTATTCCAGATGTAAAATTGTCTCTGATTGGTTGGTTGAAAAAAACCCAGCAGGGATTTTGTTGTTAATGGTCATGACTGAGAGTCACTCTCCAGGACTGAACAGGTAGTTTAGTATTCTAACCCATATCTACCTGAGGCACACACTATAAAAAGCCCCATCAGTCAGTTTAAAGCACCATACAGATTTGCTGGAGCGAGTGTTTTTGTCCCTCTGTTTTCACTTTGGCTTGGCCTTACTGTATCATTTTCCGAGCGAAAGCCCAGGGCAAACTTGCGTCAACTATTTTCTGGAAACGTTTACAAAAGAGGGCTGTGTGGCTTGCTTGGCAACACATCTACAAATCCTTAATTATATTAATTCCCTGCCCTGTGGACTCTTAGTAGATTTTAGTGGGATGTGGCACATTACCTCTCTGCCAGGAAGTGCGTAAGGATGTGAGTGAATGAGAGGATAGAGGGGTATTGTCTCTGTCCGTCCATGCAGGCAGAATGGCAGGACTCAAGCCATGCAGGAATGTTGCTCTGCTTCAGCCATCGCTGCTTCCCTAAAAGGACCTGAAGGGCCTGCCCATGAACACTTATGGGTGGGGCACTCCTAGCATCCATCATGGAATGTTAGGATAATCTTTGATTCATGGGGAAAATCAAAGAAATTAGCCATCACAATGTTTTTGTAACCTACACTGCTGACATTTGATCTCTGGGCCATGAATACCCAGATTCATGTGGTACAGAGACGTGAGCATGACATAATACTGTAAAGCTTAGACTTTTGGTTCCCACACAGGCTAAAACATACCGTGTATACCCATGGTATTGGAAGGAGCGTTGGCTAAAAGCATCATACTATACTAAGCCTGGATGTGGGAAGGCCGATTTACGAAAACAAGTTTCCTGTTCCACTGTGTGACAGCTATGTAGCTAGAGATTGTACAGTAGTGAGTGTTGTGTCCTCTGAGAAAGGCCACCCCCTTGACTGGAGAGCTGAATTAAATTTAGAGTCCATTAGATGGTTTGAAGCTGTTAGCAGAGTAGCCTGATGGATCCAGTGTCCTTGCAGTGGTTAATGCAGCCATCGTCTCATCCTCTCTCTCTCCGATCTCCAACTGCATTGCTCGAAGTACAAGCAACTTATGATAAATTGTTTTAGATGTAGTACTCTGAGCTAGACCACAGTTAAATCTTCAGCTTTGCTTTGGTCACCTAATTCCCCCATCCCCTAATTTAGACACCTTAGAATGAGGGTTGAACACACAGCAGGAGTTATTTGTCTGAGAGGCTGTGGTTAAAGAGAGGGGGTTAGGAACAGCTTACCCTTCACTCCCAGAGGAGATTGTTAGAGGCTTGTGAAAGGATGCAACCAAAAACAGTTAAAAGGGCAATGTGCAAGCTTTCCCTATTATAGTCTGCACTACATCAGCCTTCAACTGCAGCCTTCACCACTCTGCTGGGTCTGGGTTTAGCCAAAGACCAAACAGTTACTCAGTGATATAAAACAGACTCATGGTAATGAAGTAACAGGCGTATGTGTCTATACTGTATACTAATAATACGTTATATAATAAATAGGATTATTATGTGGCATTTAAAAAAAAATAATCTGGAGTGCTTTTAGTGTGTTGCTCAAATAAACTTCAGCAGAGCAAATATTTTGCAGACAAACTTCTTGATGGGTCACTCTGTAGTCATTACTTTACCCTGCTGCCTTATATAGTAGGCTGAACTCATGGCTATCTTAATGTTTGTATTTCTGTCTCTGACAGGCTGTCCATTTGTTTGTCCTTTCTGCTCTATAGGGTCTATAAGAGACAGAACAGACCAGAGGAAGCCTTAAGTCAGTGTCAGAAGTCTCTGCAATTGCTGAAGGACTGTGGTCAGCCAGAGAAGACTTGCTCTGTCTACAGGGACATGGCTGCCATTGAACATGACAAAGGTCATTTGGACCGAGCCATAGAGCATCTCTCCAAGGCAAGGGGCATATAACATGCACATCATACATAACTCTTGTCAAACATATATAAACACATGAAGACTTCTTGAGACTGCGCCAGGCTTTGTTGTTAGGTAATATTCCCACACCTCTTATCTGGTGATATGTGATCTTATTTTTTACGTGGGTGTTTCTGCTAGGCTCATGCCATTGCTATGAGTCACAGCCCAGAAGAGCTGGAGGGGGCTCGGCTCTCCCACAGCCTGGCCCTCATCCTTTCTGCTGCAGCAGAGCCCCATCACAATGGTAAGTTTATTCATAGACACATGCCAGGCCTGAGCAATATGCACAAGGGGTTAATTAGGACTTGAATCTCCCTTTGTATCCCTCTATGTAAAATTCTTGAAGATTGCGTTATGGAAACCAGACATATAATGGTCTTATTGAAGACCTGTCCAAGTTCAGTTTTGTCAGTATGATTCACCCATGTCAACTATGTTGTGGCAAACATATGGTCCATGGTAGCTATGTAAAGCATAAAGTCTGGACATTTTAAGGATTTATGTAGAAAAACTATCATATTGCATTGATTCTGTAGCAGAATGTGTTTTCATTTATTCTGTCAATCATTGCTTTTCCCCATGCTGATGTAGACTCTGCAGGTCACTACTTCGAGCAGAGTCTAAGTGCATACAGAAATTCTGCAGGTCCACAGGATCCAGCCTTTCTTGCTGCCCAGGATGATTTCTGTCGCTTCCTCCTCTGCAATGGCAAGCAAGAGGTACGCTTACAAACTTACATATCACAGCAGATTGTCTTTATCCAGACATTTTTTGAGCAGCACCAAGACAACACACTCACAGTTTGTGATTGTCAGGGGATTTATTCCACCTGCTAAATGTGTGGCTGTCACCATTGATGGCAAGAGATGATTTACTGTACCTGTTTACGATGTACCTTTGCAGAGATGTGTGGAGATTCAGAAGGCTTCTCTCGCTACAAAGAGATCTACATTTGGTGACCTGAGTGCTGAGGTAGCAGACACCCTTCAGCTAATAGGAAGTGTGGAGATGACAGAGGGCAGGATGAAGCAGGCCCACAGGACCATGACAAAGGTAATCACAAGCTATAGAACACAAATAGCACAGCTAGTGTTTGTTTTGTACATGCATATTAGAAATGCTGGACAGAGTAGAAGTTACTGTCTTCGAACATGACGTTGTCCCTGCCAAAGTATTTGGGAGGATTTAATTAAAGGCCAGGAGTCAGCAGGTGTGTCTTTCTACACCAGTGAGAAGCCTGATCAGAATATACACACAAAGAGTCCCTGTTATGTTGAGATGAGCTATTTCCACCGTCCTCCCTAAAGCTCAGCGCTATCAGAGTTGCATGCTAATCTTGGAAGGGTGCAGTGTGCAGAGCCGTCCTCCCTGGTGTAAAATATCACACAGAGTGACTTTGTGTTTCTTCAGTCTGGATGGAGCCTGACAGATGGGCAACACAACTTCGGAAAGCAACTGGCAGTCTGCTAACTGCTGTCAATTAAAGGAACACTGACCCCAATTAGTGTGGCATGCCATTATGTC